GGCCACTGCGCCGACGCAAGACTGCCTTAAGCTGCGTACCTACACGTTGTCACACATCCCACGCCTCTACCGGACGATCCAGCCCAATCATGGTGCAGCCTTTGGCGGGGATGATAAGCCATCGATGGAGATATAAACCAACCCCGATGACCCGGATTCTGAAGCCTTGATCTTTTCCCGAAAACTTCCTTTTCTCCGTCAAAACGGCCGCGAGTGCTTACTTCCCACACCACTTTTGCCCTCGCAACCTGACACTCACAAACTTTATAGTTCTGATCATTCATGAAGATAGTTATATAAATTCCGCCCTCTCAGGCAGGGGGTAAGTAGGTAAATAGGTAGGTAGGTAGGTAAGATTTGAGTAAATGTGGCTATTTTACGTTTCGAAACATCTCAACGCTAAATACAGTAAACCATTAGATGATCCGCTTCTTTATCAAAAACTCAACAGGACAACGCCAAATTCTATCTCTCGGTACTCCTCCCCATTTCAAGCAAATTCACTTGCAGCCTTAATGAGGCAAGGTCAACTGGATTTTTTCAAAACCGAGTCAATGTCAGCTATGTTAATCACCGTCTTGGAGCTCATCAGGGGGTGAGACTGACCTGCCAAACATCGTTGATGATGACATTGCTGTTGGCGCTTCTAGTGACAATGCCGACGCCAACGACCGAGTTCAGCCAGGCGTACTTGGGCGCGCCCGTCTCAAAGGCGACGCGGATGAAGGTCTGGCCGTTCGCCTGGGCCTCGCCGTTCTGGGTGACGTGGATGAAAGCGCCATCGTCCGTCTTGAAGGCCTGGCGGATATCCGCCGTGAACGTCGTGTTGGGGTTTTGCAAGTCGATAAGACCCCAGTCAGCGCCGAGAGGAAGAGCGGTGCCTAGGTCACAGCGCACCGAATGTAAGTCTCACGTCACTGCAGTGTGTGTGTGTGTGTTGCGTCGCGGTCGAAGGCACGATTCGCGAGTGGGAATCAAACAGTTGAGTGGCTGTCTTGGCTTACCCTTCAGCTTCGGTCCGGAAAAGGTGCCGCCGGTCAGGGGCACAATGAGGCGGATGCCGCGGGGGCCAGGCCCGACTGCAATGGGTTCCCCTGAGGTGACGTTGAGCGTGTACAGAAGCTCCAGACCTGGGGCCTTGGGACTGGTGATGGCTTTGCATGCGCCGGCAAGGCTCAGCATGCCATAGAGGATAGGGGCGAAGACTGCGGCTCTCATCTTGTCTGGTTGATTGATTGTGCCGATGGTTGATGATCAGGATGGTCGTCGCGTCTTAGCTAACCGTGGTTTCTATCTACACATACTAGGGATACAAGTAAAACACTCGAGCTTCTTTATATCACAGATGGTGTCGATCCGCCAAGGGTTGGCGTCAGAACGACTACGAATTAATGACAGGCGTAAACAAACCCGAGATTGGATTTCCACCTCGCGCGATGGTGCAAGTGAAGACCAGCCCGACTTGGCTGCTGGGAAGTTGGTGTTGTTTGCGCGGAGGGCCCAAGTATTGCGATTTCTAATCTGCCGTGGTGGTCCCCGTTGGCATGACCGAAGATGCCCGGATTGTTCCCGACGTAGTCACCGTGATTATTGTGTCTCACCCATGCCAAGGAAAATCCTCTGCTGCCAAAGCAAATTATATACCAGTATAACATTCTTTGTTCTGAGCTCGACACAAAAGCAATATCCCCCACTGCCTTGAGCTGCCCTCGCGTCTTGTCATGCTCACCTCGCGGCGCGAGCTGGGCGGCACTGCATTATTCATCGAGCATTGCTTACGGAATTGACCACGATGCCGACGATGACGACGATGGATAACAATGTCTCTCTTTTTTCTCTCTCTCTTTCCCTTTTTTTCCTTTTTCCCCCTTTTTTTCGGTTCTTTCTTCTATTTGTACAAGCCTCGATTGGCATGCACCTGTCATGACTCGGATCCGGTTGACTTTGGCCTTGGGCGGCGATCAAATTGGTATGTAAAAATCACCCCACCAGCTGACCGACGAGCCAAAGCCAAGCAAGACCAAGCCCAAGCACGGGACGGGCAGGCAAAAACAAAAAGCAAAAGCGGCCCAAAAAAAAATGGAAAGGAGGTGCCGACCAGAATGAAGGCATTTTCCAATAGGTAATTGCCGAAGATGTTGCTGATTGCGGTAGGTGCATCCCCCTTCTCGGGCCGAGGGAAGCCGGGCAGCACCTTGGATGGGCAGCTGGCTTCGCAGCTCGTTCCGGGACTTCTTCGCCGGAGTTTTCGAGATCCATCCACGGATGCCCTTTTTGTTCCGGGAAACTGCTGCCACCCGTCAAGCAATCATGTCGGCAGCCAATTACGTCGGCATTATTAGTGGGACTGACCAAGATTCCAATTCGTAATTGCCCAGACACTTATTACCTTGTGCACCGTGTGTGGGAAGCGCTGTCCAACCCCGCCATTGACCATTTCCACGCCGACGCAAACCATCAAGAGCTCACGGTGATCTTCCCAACAGTCACTGAAGAGAATTTTATTACAATTGGGCAGGCGATATCGCTCCCCAACCTTGCCCAGATGGCTCTTGGCACGGGGGTGGGCGTCATGGGGGTCGCGTCTTTTTCACAATTTTTTATGTGATGTATTTTGTAGCTGGCAGCTGTCAAGCACGAGCCAAGAAGATTCGGAAAGGTCAGAGGAGTGAAGCACTGAGCCCACTGCCGGCCCGCAACACTTGCCGACCGGGACCCAACGCTTGGGAAGGGACCCACTCTCTGACGTCCCCCCAAGCTCCCTCGTCCGATGAGCTTGTTGAGCGGTTGCCCCACCATGCCATTGATCTTCTTCCCTCCCTCAAGCCCAAGTCCCTCCCCCCCCTTTCCATCTGGTGACATCTCAAAATCTCTCAAAAAAAAATCCATTAAGGGTCCTCAATTCGTCAATCTCTTCTCTTCTTTTCCTTTCAACTGAAGCATTAATTAGTGAGAAATCCAATCCATCAAAGTATTGCTTTGCTCTCTCAAGCATCTCTGCCGAGACCGCAGCTAACCCCGCATTCTCCGCCAGTCAACACCGTCACAATGGGTCTTCTTGATGAGCTCAACCTCCCCGTCGGCGTCATCTACGGTATGTACAGAATCCCTTGAATCCCACCTCTCCCGCAATCCCAACCTGCCCCGACTGTACCTCCGAATCGGACTAACGTATGCAAACAACAGGCGACGATGTCCTGAAGCTCTTCCAGCACGCCCGCGAGAAGGGCTACGCCCTGCCCGCTTGCAACGTCACTTCGTCGTCCACTGTCGTCGCTGCTCTCGAGGCTGCTCGGGATGCCAAGTCGGCCATCATCCTCCAGACCTCCCAGGGAGGCGCTGCCTACTTCGCTGGCAAGGGTGTGAAGAACAGCGCCGAGAAGCAGGAGGCTTCGGTTGCCGGCTCTATTGCCGCCGCCCACTACATCAGAGCCATTGCGCCCGCCTATGGCATTCCCGTCGTCCTTCACACCGACCACTGCGCCAAGAAGCTGCTCCCGTGGCTCGATGGCATGCTCGATGCCGACGAGGAGTTCTTCAAGAAGAACGGCGTCCCTCTCTTCTCTTCCCACATGATCGACCTCTCGGAGGAGCCCGTCGAGGAGAACATCGAGACCTGCGTCAAGTACCTCAAGCGCGCTGCTCCCATGAAGCAGTGGCTCGAAATGGAGATTGGCATCACCGGTGGTGAGGAGGATGGCGTAAGTTGGCCCCCCGCCTCTGCTGAATTGCGTTCATCACAAAGCTGACACCCTCTGTTAGGTTGACAACTCCGGCGTTGATAACGCTTCCCTTTATACTCAGCCCGAGGACATCTGGGCCATTCACCAGGCCTTCAGCCCCGTGTCCAAGTACTTCTCCATCGCCGCCGGCTTCGGCAACGTCCACGGCGTCTACTCGCCAGGAAACGTCAAGCTTCACCCTGAGCTCCTCGGCAAGCACCAGGCCCACGTCGCTGACAAGCTCGGTGGCGACGAGAAGAAGCCTGTATTCTTTGTGTTCCACGGTGGCTCGGGTTCTTCCCTCGAGGAGTACCAGGAGGCCATCAAGAACGGTGTCGTCAAGGTCAACGTCGACACGGACCTGCAGTTTGCCTACCTCAGCGGCATCCGCGACTACATCACCAACAACATTGACTACCTCAAGACCCAGGTCGGCAATCCCGAGGGCTCCAACAAGCCCAACAAGAAGAAGTACGACCCCAGAGTTTGGGTTCGTGAGGGTGAGAAGACCATGGCTGCCCGCATCACCCAGGCCCTCAAGGACTTCAACGCCGCTGGCACTCTCTAAGCTGGGAAACAGAGTAAATGTAAAATATTAAAATAAAACAACAAGGCAGCTGAGACCTAGAAAATTGAAAGAGAATGATACCCGCCTTTGCTTGGTACGCCGCAAGTGTATATGTCTTGATTCGCCGAGATGGTCTGTACATAACATTGGTCTTTCTCCCTCAGTCCTTGGTTACAACAGCTTGACCCCTGGCGGTTTGGATGGCCTGTCTGGTTAGGCTCTCTGGTAATTTTCAGCATGCTTCCTTGAAAATTTCTCTCGAGAAGCTCCACGTCTCACTCGTCCTAGTGGGGTGATGTCATCTTCCTTGGTGGGTAGTTTAAGTTTCTTTTGCCAAGTTGCTTGACAGGGGTTTCGTTTTCTTCTCTCCACAATATAAAAATTCTGGGAGAGGGAGTTTCTTTTATAATGGGATCAACACCTGGTCTGCAAGGGTTAGTACGTGAGTTGATGGGTAGTTTATCCGATTTTCGGCATAGAGCAAACGCATGTGATATGATGTTTAGCAGGGGTTAATCAGCATGATGGTTAAAAGTTCAGGCCAGTTGCCTTAGTCCTGGTTCCATTGGAGTCACATGCAGAGCAATAAAATAATTAAGTTAAAAAGGAGCGTTGTTGTTGTTGATGATGATTTTTGTGATCCAGCAAACAACCTGGCAGCTGCTGACATGATCCTGACAACTCTGAGCGTTGAACAACAACCTCTGATAGGGCAATTGGTCTAGGGGTATGATTTTCGCTTCGCATTCCGCAAAAAGATGCGCCTTGTGAAAGGTCACCGGTTCGAATCCGGTATTGTCCATTCTTTTTTCCTTTTTTTTTTCCACGGGTTGGAGCTTTTATCTTCATGTCTTTCCTTTCCCTTTGCCCCTTCTCAAACTCTCCCTCCTCATCCATTCTTGATTCGATTGAATTTTTTTTTAGTATTGTTTACCTCGGGGGGTTTATAATAATATTGTATATACGTTTATATGTATAAGTGTCAAATGCAATTTTGGAAAGCTGGGAACCGAGGTCTTTGATATGGGGGGCTGATTACTCATCTGGCAAACCCCAAAAGCTGGACAGCTTTCTTCCCACAAACGTGTTGACAAAAGCGGGGCAAGCGGGGAGAGAGGATTTGGCGGAAAGTCCGGAGCTGAGGGTTAGCGGAGCCTGTACTCCAGAATCCGGGGAAGGGTTTCGTTGGGTGTTATTTACCTACTTATTCAAAGGGAGGGCATTTGTTTTTTTTGTTTTTATTATAATTCAAACATTTTCATGTCGTATCAAGACATACATACCTACTTGAAGGTCAAACCTTGAAATAAAAGAAGAGCCTTATATTTTTATGATAATTAATCTTCCCAGGGTTAATTAATTATATATTAATACTAGCTGACCGCTAAGAAGGGCTTCATCACAAACAGACGGTAGTATCAGTCAAACATGTCTGACTCGGATCTCGTCCCTTTTTCTGAGGCTATCAAGATTGTGAAGCTCGACTCTCACACTTACAAAGCCAATCTCATCGACTCGTATTGTATCGGCGCTGGTAAGTTTTAACCCCAATCGTCATTCAGTAACTCTTTAACATTGCTGACATTTAGCACCCCGTTCGCGTCATCAGTCCCCAATGGCGGCTACACGGCATCGTGCCTCCTCGAGGCGACCCGCCTGCACCTCGGCAGCAAACAACCCGACCCCATGACGGCCCATTTCCAGTTCCTCAACCGCGCAGAGGTCGGCCCGGCGGTCATTGTCATCTCGGACGTCAAATTCGGTCGACAGTTCTCCACGGTCCACTTGACGCTCCACCAGGGCGCCCTCCTGCCGCAGGCGCCGTGGTTCACCCAGGCGTCGACCCGCGCCGCCATCACGGCGTACGTCACCGTGACGGACCTGTCCAAGGAGTCGGGCCTGACTCTGCCTACGCTCTGGGGCCTGTCCCCGCAACCCCCGGCGGCGGCGCCCGCCCCCGACTTCGGCCTGCTGAAGCACGGCAAGGACCCCAACTGGACCAGGTCGACCTGGGGTCTGACGGGCAACGGCAAGACGGCCACGTTCGCCCGCGTCCTGAGGAACTACGACGTCTTTCTACCAAAAGCCGGACAGGTCCACGAGAGCGTCACGGACCTGTGGATGAGGTTCAACGTCGGGGGCGGGAGGTTCACAAACTCGTCGCTGGCCTTCGTCGCCGACGCGTTTCCGTTCGTCGTAGAGGCGTACAGGCCGGCAAAGGGGTCCGACAAGCCGTACGGAAGCGGGGAGATGTTTTGGTACCCGACCGTGGTCATGAGCTTGGAGGTCAAGAGGGCGCTGCCCGAGCGAGGGGTCGAGTGGCTGAGGTTGAGGATGCACGCCAAGGAGATTCGGAACGGGAGGTTGGATCTGGAGGTCTTGATACTGGGGGAAAGTGGGGAGCTGGTTGGCATCAGTCATCAGGTCAATTTGGTGCTGGGAAGCGAGAGGAATACCAAGGGGAGGGAAAAGGGGAAGATTTAACGGTTGCAAAGGAGGGGAAGGAGAGAGGAAGGGGGGGAGGTGGGATGGGGCGGAGGTGTGGGTAGGTAGGCACCTACCTAGGTATCTAGTAGGAACAGCGCCCGGTTTGGCTGGGTGACCACGATGCGGGGGAACGTCACGTCATTGGTACGGTAGTATAGTGTTCCGAAAAGGATCTCGATGCAAAGCTCACTCTGCTGTTCGAATTATTAGTAGTAGCGCCCCGGTCTGATGACGGCAGCTATGCGGCTCGGTGTGGAAAACCAGAAAGTAAAACCTTTTGAGTCTAGCGCGATCTCAGGCTACCTATGTATGCAGTAGGAAGGATCCGAAGGACGATCGGTTTGTCTAGACCCGATCTTCGAGAGATGGGAAAAAGAAAATGTGACCCGGATGCCACCACTGAATCCGCGGCAACCAACCCAAGTTAGTAGATACAACAACTTTGTATCTAGCATCCAGGGTACATCAGTAGGATGTCTCAGGATTCAATAGTCAGAGCGTACCTACACGGCGTATTGCTGTCCAACCCCAGCGATTCTATTTGCGCATGGCTCCAGAACAGATCGATTTTCTGGGGGGATTTTTTGTTTTGCCCAGCCTACCTATTTAAAGCCCGCAGACGCCACGAAAATGGTATCATTGCTGCCATTCAGATGCTAATTGGCTCATCGGGCGACGTATTCGCCAGTCTGCAACCACTTGGAAAGGTCACTGCCAAGTGGGCGGTATGCCGACAATTGTCTCACAGGAAGACAACTTGCCCTGTTTCTAACCCGGAAGCTCATTCACTTCTTCAATGTGGCCAAGATATGGTGACTTTGAGACATGAACTGCGAAGCCGAGATACCACCTACCTTAGGTAGGTGCGTGTGCTCTGGATGCCTCGATCAGGAAAAAGATTCCCATCGTGACAAGCGAGGAATTTGGTAGAGCCAGGTAATTAGTATAAGAAGGGGATGACTGCTCCACTCTGACCTATACGTTGCAGTCTTCTATACCAGGAAAATCAACTTACTTACCCATCTGATATATCCATACCTACCTACCCATCATCTTTGGTTCAGCAGCAACCATGGTTTCCATTCGCACCATCACCACCACCGCCGCGGGCTTGCTCCTCTCCTTGGCCCCCGCCGCCCTCGCAGTCACCTCGGCCACGGTTGTAAACAACCTCGCCACCCTGGAAGGCAAGTCGTACGCGCTCCAGGACCCGGCTCGCGAGGTCAACCTCGTAAATGCCCAGCTGTCCGTGACCGGCCTCGGTCCCATCCCGGGCCTCATCAGGGAGTACAGGGACTTCATCACCTTCGTCAGCGGCCTGAACGCCGCGTACCAGGGCTCGCCCCCCTTCGCGGCCGGCGACGCGGCGGCGGCCACCATTCCGACTTCGTTCCGCAGGTTCGTCGTCGCGCACTCGATCCTGCTCAACATACTCACCGGCAATGCGAGGCTCGCCGGTTTCGTCCCGGGAGTCGGCGTGCTGCCGCCGCTCAACGTCGACTTTGGAAACGTCCTGAGCGACGCCAGGGCGGCTCTGGAGGTGAGTCATTTCGTCAGAGAGAGAACCCTACTTACCTAGGTAGATACTCAGTGCTGACTGCTAACGGTATGGCGTACCCGCGCCGAGCAGACTTACGCGGCCCGCATCGTCGCGCTGACGGACGCCGCGGCCGACGCGCAGATCCAGTCGTCTTGGGCGGAAATCAACGGGACGTTTAACGCCGCGTACAGCTTTTACCGCAGCGGACTTTTGAACGACATTCTTTCCTGATGATAGGAATATGGCACCTAGGCAAAGGACGGAAACGCAATCGGGGGACGGTCACCCTTCCTCTTTTGGTCATGATAGGGTGGTGTTGTTGTAACATGTAACATGTAATCTCTCTTTCTTTCTTTCTTTCTTTTTTCTTCATGGAAGCTAGCTATTGCCTTTTCCTATCTACCTACCTGTGGTAGCTTTATTTTGGGTTGACAACAACTTTATATACCTACCTACCTAGGCACTTTTTTCCTGTCTTGAACATGACCTAAAGTCCAAGGCACACAGTCTCCTTTTAACCCCCCCCCCCCCCCCCCGAACAAGGAACCATGAGTTGGTTAGTACCTTGGTAGTTCCGTTTTTGTGATTCTCCTTTTGTGCTTGCTTTGAGCTTCTTTTGATATTTCCAAGTCGTTCTATGTTTGACCATTTCCCCTGAGGAAAGCAACCCCTTCCCGGACCAAGCCTCTCCAAAATATGGAAATGCGGAAATGTATCTATATTTAGGTATATACACAGGAGGTAGTTGGGTGGTGTTGATGAGTACCTAGGCAGGTAGGTGCATAAGTACTGAATGGTGATTTATCTTATCTTGACTTTCATCTTCATCGAATCGACAGGCTTTGAGGTGATCTGTGAGGTCTGTATAATAATCGGTCAGATTTTTTTTTTTTTTTTTTTTTTTTTTTTCAACCCCTGAAAATGCTACAAGTAGCCACAGGCGGACAAAAAGTGTAGGTTAGGCAGGCAGGTAGGTTACTCACATTGAAAACTTCCGACTTGACCTTGTAGTGCCGCCCGCTCTCCTCCATCACCGGGAGCCCCTTTTCGTCCCTCTCGAGCTCGCCCAGGCCGACCTTGACAAACTCGTACCGCCTCGCCACCATGGCCAGGATGACCCTCGCCTCGATCGTGGCCAGATCCTGCCCGATGCAGTTCCTGGGCCCCCGCTCAAAAGCCCTCCAGGCGCTGGCGGGGATCGTCTTTTCGGCGCCCGCCGCCGGCGCCGCGACGTCGACGTTGCTGGTGGCGCTCATGATGCCGCTCTTGTCGTTGAGCCACCGCTCGGGAACGAACTCGTCGGCCGTCTCCCCGTACACGTTCCTGTCGCGCTGGATGATGGACGCGCAGACGTAGATGAGCATCCCGTCGAGGCACAGGTCCTGGCCTTCGGGGGTGCGGACCACCAGCCCGCTCCCGGGCCGCGCCATCCTCGCGGTGCTTGCCGGCGGCCGCAGGCGGAGCGTCTCCTTGATGACGGCCGTCGTGTACGGCATCCGGTTGATGAGCTCGTGCCCGCCGGGGGAGCTCAGCTTCCCCTTGACGGCGGCCGGGTCCGAGTCCGGGCCGAAGACGTCGTCCAGCTCGGCGGCGAGCGCCTCTCGGCACGAAGGGTAGAGCGAGAGGTAGTAGAGGGCCCAGGACAGCACGATCGAGGTCGTGTCGTGGCCCGCAAACATGAACGTCTTGATCGAGTCGACCGTCTCCTCGAGCAGCGCGTCGTCGAGCACCTCCCTGCCCTGCAGCGAGAGATTCAGCACGCTTCGGGCTTTGGC